GTAAAAACAAATGGATCATGAAAAGAGAAATGAAGGAATAGACAAATTATTTTTAATATGATTTATGTTATTGTGTAATTTTGCCGACATAACATGGGAGATGCTATTTGGTTTATGTTGCTTGATCAGAGTTTGCAAATAATATTTTGGCTGCAAGGGATACCTGTTGGATTGCTTGTATTTTGTGAATGTGTACCTTAGTTGAAGTTTCTTCAAGAATTGTATCTTAAGTAACGATACAAAGCTTTTTAGTGTGTATTTATCTTTTTTTGTTTGTTTGAAAATATTGTAACTACTAAATGGGTTCTCTATTTATGGTTGAAATGATAACGACAGTGATAACGATTATGTCACGACGATATACGGCAACAGTAATGATACTGATCTAGTCATATATGTCAATATTGAAAATTATAATGTTAATGATGCTGATAGTGGAAATATCAAAGACATAAGAAGTACTAAGAAAATTAGGGAGCACAATAATAGCAGATTGATGGATGAGCACCCTGATCTCTTTCATTGTTTATCCTTGTCAGCATCTGTATTCATCCATGATTCTTTATGTCTCTCTATCTCATTAAGCGACTAAATGGACCGGAGATGAGAAAGGACCGCGGTGACAGTAAATGGGAGAAATGGAGAAAGAAAAGAGAAGGGGGGGGGTGGAGGAAGGGGAGAGATGGGGATAGCGGAAAGAAAATGGAATAGAGATAATATTTGTCCACTTAGATATAGTAGGAGAAACAAACAAAACATAAAACACGGAAGATGAGAAAGGTGTGTGAGTTCATTACTGCAGATGATGCTTATTTCGCTCTCTGTTTGCTATAGAACCCTCAAAAGCCTTAATAACAAAAGAAGAATTCTGAACACAGAATATTTTGCCAATGTTAATAAAGGTTAAAAACCGTTACACATTCCTTGTATCAACAGTTCTATAAAATGTACTGATTACACATGGGTGTCGTAGTGTATGTGTGCTTTGTGCTTGTGTATGTGTTTGTACGTAGGCTAACTGAATCGCTAGGGCAACATGCGTCATGTCACTCATGAGGAAGTCGACTGGCGTCAGTCATCAGTGCTTCAGTTACTAGTTTATGCCTCACAAAAAGAAAAGAGAAGAAAAACTCTTCAGCTGACGCCCCTCCTTCACAGCTCCCACCCCCTTTCCCAGCGTTACATGTGATGGCCTCTCATTCATTGAAATAAAGATTTGCTTTTGATATTTTACGGTGGTGGTTAATATTATTATGTTTGTATGGTTACTATTACTGTATCAGTGATCTTTACAATTATTATAATTTGTATTACTGTTATTACTATTAACATCGTTATTATTATTGTTATCACGGTTATCATTTTTATCTGCAACAGTATCACCGATGATTTTTAATGTTACATTGTTGGTATAAGCTACAGAGCAATGAAAAGGATTCAATTTAAAAATACACCGGAATATTTGCGCCAAAACGAAACCAGGGAACACCACGATGAATAATAAATTAACACATTTAAATGAATGTCTCTAAAAAATCTTGCACTACAGGGCTTTTAATGAAGGAAGCACACGCTTGAGCCAGACTCTCTAGGTGGATCTGGGTATGACTATTGATTTCCCAAGATCTCAGAAACCCACACTTTTATAAAGGAGGGAGTAAGAAAATAAAGAATAAATCTGAATAAAACGCTAATACACAACTCATAATTTCGATATAAAAGGTCACTGTGGTTAGAACAAAGCACAGTAAGATACGTATCAGGATCCCGCAGTTGAAGACGGTGTGGTTGGTCTTGGCTGTGTGGTTGGCAGGAGTGTGGTTGTTGGCTGCAGTCCAAGGGTGAGTCCCCTCGTCCCCGGGGTGGGAAGGTGAACGTCATGATTTGAGCTTGATTTCGTGCGTGTGTGTGTTTGTGCCGATGCATTTGTGTTTATTTGTGTGGTTGTAAGATATCTCTTCCATGAGTTGCTTGTGACCTTTATAGGTCTACTGGTATGTACATAGAATAGACAAATTCACACGCACAAATCGCGTGTTTGTGAGAGTGTGCGCGTATACATATCTCTGTATAAACATATACATATATATACATACATACATATATAAGTAAACTGATATGTACACATATACGTACATGCATACAAACATACATGGAGATATGCACACATACACACGTGTGGGTGCGCATATGTATATGGATTTATACATATATGTATAAGCATATATATATGTATACATAGATGTAAGTGTATATATGTATACATAGATGTAAGTGTATATATGTATACATAGATGTAAGTGTATATATGTATACATAGATGTAAGTGTATATATGTATACATAGATGTAAGTGTATATATGTATACATAGATGTAAGTGTATATATGTATACATAGATGTAAGTGTATATATGTATACATAGATGTAAGTGTATATATGTATACATAGATGTAAGTGTATATATGTATACATAGATGTAAGTGTATATATGTATACATAGATGTAAGTGTATATATGTATACATAGATGTAAGTGTA